CTGTCTTGTTCTGGATGTGTTCCTTTTTCCTGATAGGTTCTCTTTTTTTGTGTGTTATTTATCTTACATCTTACATAATTCTCCCTTTCTCTTTACTGGCACTGTAGACCACATGTGCATGAAAGTGCCTCTCTGTAATTCAGACGACTTGTAAAAATATTTGACTTTTGTTTCAGCCAAACTGTTAATATTGATGGGCCATAATCATTCTGCTCCCATTGTCTCAAATATTTCAGAGTCTTTGCGGCTCATGGAAGAGAATCGCTTGCTGAAGGAACAGAAACAGTGTAAGATCTGTATGGACGAAGAAGTCTGCATGGCGTTCCTGCCCTGTGGCCATCTCGTCTGCTGTGCCACTTGCGCCCCAGCCCTCGACTCGTGTCCAATTTGCAGAGGGAAAATCAAGAGAACCGTGCGGACCTATATGGCTTGATTTGTATTTTGTGAAATTCTTTTTAAAAAATCTGTCGTTATCTTTGCATATTGTGATACATGCAGTTCTAATCAGTTTGCGAGTTATAGAGTTTTTTAACTGAAACAATTTTATATGAAATGAAATAACAGGTTCTGACCGATCTGTAGAGACAGTTGCTCGTCTTCATTATATTACTGAATCGTCATTTCCTCTTTGGGCCAGCTTGTGTTTTCGTAAGGCAGTGAAAAATATTAATTTTTTAAGACTTGCGGTGTTTTTTCCCATCGTAATTTGTAGTGCTAAGCTGAACTGCATCAAATTTGATTTCTAAAGGTCTCTATAGTTTCAGCAGTGCAAATGAGATGTTTCAAATCAGTTTACCTCTTTGTGAACAGTGGAAAGTGAGCTATGCCAAAAAAATGGCCATGTTCAATTGATGGCTTATCTTGTCTTTTCTGATATTAAAAAAAAAATAATTTTGAATATAATTCATTTGTACATTTTTCACAAGTGTTTGATGAATGTTGCAGAAGGGAGCTTGGTATACGACTGTGGCCTGAAAAATTTTCTCAAATTTGCTTCGGCTTGGGTAATGTTTCTTGATTATTCAGGGATGCCACTCTTCCGCTTTTTTCCGGTATTTCCGGTATTTTGATCCTGATCCGCTATTCCGTTATTGAGATCGAGATAGAATCTATAGTTTAAAAAGAAGAAAAAAAATCCCACACACACACAACTTGCGCCCAAATGTTCAAATAACGAAAAAACGAAGACTTCGCCATTAGTTCAAATAACGGGGAGTGCTTATGTTTGTTTGTCATTTCTCTCTATGTACACCCTTTGGGTTTCAAATTGATATTCATATGTTGGTGAGACCGTGGATCATGGATTTTCAGCTATTTAAAAAAAAGCTGAGTGGCATCCCTGATTATTCTGTGAGCGAGGGAGCCAACATGGGGAGGAAGGGAAAAGAGGGAGTGTGACCAGAATGTACGCGTAATGTCTAACCCGTCACTGATCCTCTCTTTGACTGGAGACCAAAATGGCTGACAAGGATCAATTTTGAGCTTGTCCTGGTTTGATTTGAAATCTCTTCTTTGAACTTTTCTCCCAAAAAAATGATAATTATGTTAAAATTCAATTATTGTGTTTTTTACAGAATTGTTTTTGAAAGGTAGTACCGGTAGTAAACATCTTTGGGCTCTGTTCAAACTTTTATAGTAAATGTCACAAAATATGTTTTCTTTATTTTCTACTTTGTCGTTTTGGGTTTTTTTGGAGGTTTTTAAAAAATCAAACGGCAGTTAATTTTCAACATTTATCGGCTTGACTGTGTAAGGGGAGAATATTTGAAAGGACTTTGTAGCAACATGTAAGACATTATTTACAATTCAAAGGGCCACAAGTCTGACCCAAACCGCTTAATGAATAATAATGAATATATATATATATAATTACGTTTTCCTTTTGTTTCATTTGATTAGTGTTTTCTGTGTTTACCTCAATGCAGATTGTCATAAAAGTTTTCTCTACTTCCAAAACAGTAAGTTCCATTTTGCGTGCTCTTAACTCTTGACTCGCTATTCTAATTTAGTAGAATGCTTAATATATGATTCAAATTGTATGCTTCTTTCATGAAGGCTGTGAATATTTCCCATGACCACTTTATAGAACTTGCCCGTGATAAGTTAAAAAATTTCCGAGGGAGAGAGGAAAAATGGGGAAATGTTTGTGCTTGTTTTTGTTTTTCATGCCCTATCATAGGCGGTGCTCCTTCTGTGGTGTTTTTGGTTTTGTTTCTTGTTCATTGATGTTGAAAGGACAGTATTCTGTCACGGTCAGTTGGTGTTTATTGCCAAGTAAGCGACTGGCATGTGTCCAGAAGTTTGGGTTTTTTTTCTTCAAATTCTTCAGGTTTTCTGTTACTTCTCCTTTATCTTGGCCTTAGTCTTAGCCCTACATGATTATGTTATAGCAACATTTGAAGGACACCTTTCTCTCTCACTGCTAACATTTTTTTGTAGTCTGGCGTCTTTAAAACTGTTGGTTTTTATTACATCACTGCAGTGAATATTTTCTTTTGACCCATCATCTCTGATGTGTGATATTATAGTTTTGAAACTGAAACAATCCAAATGTGTACCCTTTTTGTGAATGTGTAAATAACCCTTTTTACGCGCTAGAGAAGTATTTTAGCTTATCCATGGCGCTTGGATATTTTTATGTTTCTTTGTGCTTGACTAATAAATCATTTACCGAATTATGGAATTTGATTTGTTTGACCTTTGTTGGTCTCTAATGAGCCTTACCATTTTATCATTGAGAAAATATGTCATTAATGCCATTAAACCAAAACAATAGCATTGTGTGTGTGGAAGGACGAGATTATATAGCACCATGCTCCTTGTACTTCTTTGATGTTGTTGTGATGTTGTTGTTATTGTCCTGTTCTGGGTCTATGTGAGTGGGTGGTTGGTGGGTGCTCTGGTGTGGTTTGCTGCTCCTTCTTTCCTATTAAACATCTATCAATCTTTTCTCCTTCTTTTTTGTGTAAGTTACTTTCTTGTAACACATCTATTCTTTGGCACTTACATGATCTTATTGTGTTGCAAGTCCCATAAAACTCGTACTAAAACTGAGTCTCTGTGAATACTGTGATCATTTATAGTGGAGTATGAAGCCAGCCAGACATGTGAAATATCAGGATTCACATTTCACAAGTCTTAAGTGTGCCTCATTGATTGCTCACCCAAGAAAAGCTAAGGTTGTGGAGTGACTTTACTGAAAACCCAGACATCTAATGTGAGATCCTGACTAAAAATGTGGTAGATATTTTGCATTCTGCCTACAGGATAGGATCTTTATAATGTTGAAAATAAAACAATGTAATTAACTTTGGCATCTGTAAGAGTGAATAGGGATAACACCCAAACGGAAAAAAAATATGCCCAGAGGGTCGAGAAATATCCAAAGGCATTAGATAGTTGACCAATACGGAACCTGTGAAATTAGTTAAGCTAGTGTGTGAGCAAGGTATGGGTTTTGGTGACCAGTTATGGTCTTTGTCAGGCGACAGTGGTAGACAGTGTGAGTGAGGTGTACTGTTTTTGTGTTCATTCTCGTCATGTGAATGGTCTCACACACACTCATGAAGAGAACTGTCTGTTACGACTTTAAACAAAAAGACAAGCTGCATGTGGTGGAAAATACATCATGTGTATTTACTCAAGCCCAAGGGTGATCAGAACTCTCACGTTTCCATCCTTTTCCATTTGAACAAAAGTATATTTCTTTTTAAAAATTTATTTAATTGTGGGTGTTTCTACATCCCCATTGACTCAATTTAGATCATTTCGGAGGCAGGATTCCCACCCTGCATGTCAGGGTCAACCCACACTGAAAGAGATACATGTACATCCCAACAGATAGAGTCAGTCAGAGATGCTTGAAAAAGGTTCTCCCCACTCAGGAATCGAACTCCTGTCTCCTGTGTCAAACAACTTGTGTTTCGCGCGCTCATATGACCTTATGCAATTGCGAGCGCCGTAAAACCCCATACTATACTATACTATACTATACTATACTATACTATACTA